ATGATTTTAGAATGTGCTGGATGATTTCTACTGGAATGCAAGTAATGCCAAGAATTTTCATTTGGCCTATATCTTCCCAACTCTGCTCAAGTAATTTAATATCGAAATTTTTATCACTTGAAAGGAATTCTCAAATGATTTACCATTACCTCATTCAGCATGGATTTCGCTTCGCTATAGAGAGTCTTCTACTGCCTTTGCCGATAATATAACATTACATACATATAATATAGAAGAAATATAACATTTTCTGGTTTTCACGATAGTTGTTTCCATGACTTTCTAAGTGATAATTAAGTGCAGCTGATAATAGAAGATATAACTTTAAATGAAACTCTATTGAAGCAATAGGATACTCTTTCTCTTACTTTATCTTGAGCTTTTTTCATTTGCTCTTGTCAAAAATTTTGTTTGAAAAAAATCGATATTGCTATCCTTCAACACATTGCACTGATATAGCAATTGTTGAATATCTACTCAACAACTACCATGTCAGCGCAACAATTCTTACAGCTTATTCCGTCAGTTGAACTTCCGAATTGTTTTTGTGACATCACTCTATTAACCTTATCCTTTCAAGATATGAAATGATAAAACTGATATCTTTTTCAAACTAATATTGCATTTCATTCAACAATTTCCAAATTGTAGAAAACGATAAATCGATAATTAAATGCTGATATTTAGAGATCATAAAGTGATATTTATACAATTCCTATGATTACTACTATACGAAAATTTCAAAAAGAGTAAATTTCAGCAAAGAAGACAAAAAAATTATAGAATGAATCATACCGAGATAATTCAGAATGAAGGCGATCCCTCAATACAAATAAAGCATTTAAAGCAGGAAAATTTCACAATATAACTGAATTTTGGTAAGGTACAGTTGTGGAATTTTCCGGGAACTCTCAAACAGTTCGGGAAAGAGACTATTGTGCAGGTTATAATAGCATTTATGTAAAACTGTTGCAACTGAACATATTGTAACTAAACGAAGCAAGATGTTTAGTGGAATCGGAAAGATTGCAATTCTGTGATTTCGTCTGGTCACAACTCGCACGGTTCACCGAGAACCATTCATTCATGAACTGTTCATTAATATCGGTTGAAGACCAACACAATAAACCTGCAAATAAACTTCCTGTTATTTCTTTAAAAACTTTCATTTTACGTTGCTCGAGTAGTACAGTGGTACGCGTTGTCATTTCTATAAGTGCGCTGGGTTTTGTTCCATTATCGCGATGGGAGAAAGATTAAGGAAAACAAACTCTTCTTAGATTTTAAGTAAATAGTAGAAAACTTCTCACCCATCCAATGCATGCACTGTTACCCAATTAATTGTCGTGACAGCAAATAAAGCCCATTTATTAGTCAGAAAATACTGGCCAATATTAACGATAAGAACATGTATGATTATCGTTAGTCCACTGATGCATGACTGGAAAGGAATGAACAATTTATAGCTGTACGATAAATTATTTTGCATTGTTATTTTGCATTGTAATTATTATCACAGCTTGTTGCTTATTTTACTATTCACCCAATAATTCCAATGTTTGTATACTTGCCTGTTTAAAAAAGTATATGTCATTCTTACGGTTGGAAGGACGCCTCGTCAGTTTTCGTACTTTTCTTAACTGAAAAACTCGCTACAAATAATTTCTGCAATGCAATCAGTGATTAACGTCTAAATTTGTTGAACCAAATATTTGGTTGAAATTTTTTAAGTGGAATTGAACATGAAATTCATTAGATGTTTAAAATACATTCAATCCAAACAGTTAAAAACTTCGCTTTAATTCCAAAAATATCATCGATACTTTTATGCAAAAAACATTTCATATTTTATGTATTTAGATATTAACTGTAAGCTCTTATCGAAGATGATTAATGAAATAGTAGCAAATCACAACTTTATTGTGACTTCTAATCTTCAAGAACGTCATGAAGTCAATGCATCCCGCTATGATCACCATTGAACTGGCGAACACTGCGTCTAACATCGAGTTTATGTCACCGCAATCCGTGTTGCTGTAGCTCCAACGGAAATCCAATTCCGTATTAAAAACAAGGGTACATGGTTCTGTAAACATAATATCTCACCGTACGATCACCAAATTTTATAATTTTAAATTATAACCTTGATAAATCATTTTGTTTCACTGATCATGATAAGATAATTTACTTTCTCTTGGATGATCTTACAAAAACTTTACCGAAAATGCTAGGCAAACACGGTAGAAACCCGAAGAAATAGACAATAATTCCCGCACAGCGAGCTTTCGGTACGGTCCAATAAAAGTGATAGTTCAGAGGATATGCAAATGCGCAGTATCTATTCACCGCAATTAACAAATTTACCAATATTGCTCCGTAAAAAAACACATTTGCCAAGCATCCGGGTATTAAGGCTATGGAATATGTCGGTGATGATAATTCCCGAAAGCCCCTGAAATTACAATTGGTTAAACCAAGGGATTATTAGTATTCAAATCAATTATAATTGTAACTATGATTTCTCCTAACTTTCCACGAACAACTACGACAAATTTCACGTAGTAAACATTACGTTAGTAGAACAGCAGCGCTCCATATCAATATAACTAATATTGTTTGTATATTACACAGCAAAACTATAGTACGGAGAGTGCCATAAGCATTCTGAAATTGTGAATTTGTAACTGTGATAAAAATTGACGAGCCATTGCCGATAAATCCGAATAATGATACCTGCAACAAAATTGGAATTAAGTGAAATAAATGCTGTCAAGGTTGAGTGATTAATTGATCGCCACAGGCATTGTCCCTTAAATGTTTTTGAAAGGATAGTGTGTTTCCATAATATGTTACTTCATATTACTGCGACAAGTTTAGATAAGGTTAAAACTGAACTTACTATAGTAATACAAAGAAGTGCAAACATATTTTCTGATATGCTGGACTCTGTGGTTGCCATCACGTTTTTCGGAATTAATTAAGAAGTTGGAATTGACGATTCAAAGAAAACGTAGTAGGAAAAAGTTTTAAAATAAAAGGTATGCCAAAATCGTTGCTTTCTTGAGTATTTGAAAAATTCATCAGACTACACAGCAACAATTTCAGTTCAATTTTAAATCTTCCACATTCATCGCAACCAATTGATAACAAACGTTTTGTGGATTCTTTCATCGCTTTGCCTTTTCTGAAAATTTTTTTCTGTTTGCTGACAGCACTGTTAATTCTATCTCAGAATTGAATTTTCTGGTGCATTTATTTCAAAATCAACATTACATGATATCATGATGAAGAATTAATGATAATGTCTGTATATGTGTATGCAATCTTAATAAAAAATGCATAAAAAGAACATATAAATCATTAAAATTAAGGACAATAGAGAAAGTAATTAGTTATGGACTAAATCAATTTTCAAAATAACTTGCCATCTGTATACACTCACTGATAAGTTTGTTACTCTATTTGTCAAATTGTAGTAAAGTGCCTTCGTCATAGACTTTCAACGTAACCAATTCACTTTAACTGAATGAATAATATCAAATAACGAAATTAACGAACTCATATTTTAAAAGCCTGTGGCATGATATTGAATGTGGTAATACTCTTATCAATGTTTAATAAGTGAAAAATTGAAAGGTAAAATCACTTCCTATTCAGGAGCTTATCATTTCCGATAAGAAGAATGGGTGAAGGATTGAACATAGAGAAAACATTTGCGAATTAGACAGCAACTAAAGCGACGAATTTTATTTTCTCCCTCCATAGCTATTAGTTTTGCAACAGGTAGAAAAATGGATTCAAATCAGAAATTAAATAAATTGGATGAAATAATTGAAAGCAATCCAATTGAAAATGAGGATTTTGCTGAAAAATTAACAAATTTTGATATTATTTGCTTACCGTTTACAATATCTGGTATCTGGTTATATATCTGGTATCATATAATATACCTGATATCTTCTTATGCGAATATAGCACTTAATTATTTGGCGAAAATTCAATTCATAGCTAAACATCTACAAATCTCTGCCTACAGTAAATTAATTTTAAGAATTCTTTATGAAGTCCTTATTTATTCTTCCCTCTAAATGTTGGCACCCGTTTGTTAGATTCTTTATATAAAATTGTTCACTTCATTCATCCTTTTCTTGATTTCAACCTTGTCGGTTTAAAAATTAACTATCTTCAATCTATTTATACGCGTGACGAAGAATTTTTCAACATTTAATTATTTAGGTCATTTTTTAGGTATACGAATTCGTGCAAAAATTACTAGCCAATTCTGATACCCATTAAAAAAGATTTCTAAGCAGAAGAACTATCATCCACTAGATGAAATGAATTGGCATTTATTATCAATGACTGAAAAGCCAAGCAGTGAGCATTATTTCAATTTATTTCCGCAACACACATGTACATCGCGTTGATGCAGTATCCGTCTTCATCTATCGATAATTAAATGTTGATATTTAAAGATCATAAAGTGATATTTGCACAATTCCACTGATTACTATTGTACGAAAATTTCAAGAATAAATTTCAAAAAAGAAAACAAAAATAATTGTAGAATGAATCATTTTAGAATGAAGGCGATCCTTCAATACATGCAAAGAAAATCGAGCATTTAAAGCAGGAAAATTCACAAAATGAATTTTGGTAAAGCACTGTTGTGGAATTTCCCGGGAACTCTCAAACAGTTCGGGAAAGAGACTGTTGTGCAGGTTATAATAGCATTTGTGTGGAACTATTGTAACTGAACGAAGCAAAATGTTCTAGTGGAGTCGAAAATATTGTATGGTATATCGACTATTCATTCAGGTAATATCGGTTGGAGATCAACACAATAAACCTGCAAATAAGCTTTGTGTTATTTCTTCGAAAATTTTCATTTTAAGTTGCTGCAGTGGTATGCGCTGTCATTTCTATAAGTGCACTGCGTGTTGTTGCATTACAGTGATGAGAGAAAGCTTTTAGATTTTTAGTAAATGGCAGAAAACTTCTCACCCATCCAATACATGCACTGCTACCCAATTAATTGTCGTGACAACAAATAAAGCCCATTTATTGGTCAGAAAATGTGGGCCAATATTAAAGACAAGAGCATGCATGATCATCGTTAGTCCACTGATACACGACTGGAAACGAATAAACAATTCATAGCTGTACGATAAATTATTTAGAATTTAATAACTGGGGTCATTGTAATTTTTGTCACAGTTTGTTGCTTAATTTAATTATTCACCAGCAATTACAATGTTTGTATACTTGCCTGTTTAAAAAAGTATATGTCATTCTTACGGTTGGAAGGACGCGCCGCCAGTTTTCGTACTTTTCTTAACTGAAAAACTCGGTACAAATAATATCTACAATGCGATCAGCAATTACATTTAAATTTGCTGGACCGAATTTTTAGTCGAAAATTTCAAGTGAAACTGAATGTGAAATTTATTAAATATTAAAAATACATTCAGTGCAAACAGTTAATTCTTTTTAATTCCTACTTTTAAGCAAAAAATATCGCATATTTTATGTATTTAAATATTAACTGTAAACGCTTATCGAAGATAATTAATGAAATAATAGCAAATCGTAACTTTACTGTGACTTCTAATTCTCAGAAACGTCATGAAGTCGATGCATTCTGCTATGATTATCATCGAAATAGCCAACATTGTGTCGAGCATCGAATTTATCTTACCGCAACTCGTGTTGCTGTAACTCCAACGAAAATCCAATTCCGTATTAAAAATGAGGGTACATGGTTCTGTAAACATAATATCTCAACGTTCGATAACCAAATTTTATAATCTAAATTATAAATCTTGATAAATCATTTTGTTTCACTGATAACGATAAGATAATTTATTCACCTTGAATTAACTTATGAAAATTTTACCAAAAATGCTGGGCAAACACGGTAGGAACCCGAAGAAATAGACAATAATTCCCGCACAGCGAGCTTTCGGTACGGTCCAAAAAATGTGATATTTCAAAGGATATGCAAATGCGCAGTACCTATTCACTGCAATTAACAAATTTACCAATACTACTCCGTAGAAAGACGCATTTGCCAAACATCCGGGTATTAAGGCGATGAAATATGTCGGTGATGATAGTTCACGGAAACCCCTGAAATTACAATTGATTAAACCAAGGGATCATAAGTCATCGGATTAATGGAATCGCATCCAATAGCGATTTCTGCTGACTTTCTACGAAAGTTGCGACAAATTATGCATAACAAATATTACGTTAATATAACAACAGCGCTCCATATCGATAAAACTGATATTGTTTGTATATTACACAGCAAAACTATAGTACGCAGAGTGCCATAGGCATTCTGAAAATGTGAATTTGTAGTTGTGATAAAAATTGATAAGCCATTGCCGGTCAATCCGAATAATGATACCTGCAACGAAATTAGAATTAAGTGAAATGAAACCCTGTTCCAAGGTTGAGTGATTAATAGGTCGCCACAGAGCATTGTCCCTTAAATGTTTTTGAAAGGATAGTCTGTTTCCATTATATGTTACTTCATATTACTGCACATGTTTTGAGCTAAAACTGAGCTTACCATAGTAATACAAAGAAGTGCAAGCGCATTTTCTAATGTGCTGGGCTCTGTGGTTGCCATCACGTTTTTTGGAATTAATTATGAAGTAGGAATTGCCGATTCAAAAAAAACGTAGCAGGAGAATGTTTTGCAATAAAACGTGTGTCAAAATTATTGCTTTCTTGGGAATTTGAAAAATTCGTCAGACTACAATAGCAACAGTTTTAATTCAATTTTAAATCTTCCACATTCATCGCAACCAATTGATGACAAACGTTTTGTGGATTCTTTCATCGCTTTG